GTATAATTGTGGCCTATTAAGAATGTATTCATGCAGGCTTGCTGTTTTACTTTTTTTTTTCATAGTTTTTGAGTGTGGAATGTTAGCAACCCTGCCTGGTTTTTATTGCTGCATGTGTTTCTGCTGGGAAGATTAACCCTCTCTAATTGTCCTAGTAGCCACTGTCTACCAGAAAAACATTGAGGGAAAATTGATGTGTTTAGAGGTCAGGAAGTGAAATCTTCCCAATGCAATACTGATGGCAAAGGGGAAAAAACTGTCAGGGGTCTTAACATTACCCTACTTCCTATCCAAAACTACAAAAAAAAAAATAATAAAAAATCTGGCTTTAAACACATGCCTACTCAATTTTATAACTGTGATAAGCTATGGGAGCATCAGAAATAGCTTCAGTGTCTCTCTTGGGCTAAGCATTGTATTTGGGTCATATTATATCATAAAAATGCATATGTATATTTCACTTGTAGCCCACTGAGGTTCGGTCACTCCACTTATTATAAAAAATAGGTTCATACTATTATATATTACATTATATAAATTGATGCAAACTGTACTTGGGCAGAAACAAATGCAATGCTATATTCAGCATTAAAAAATCTACTTTGTTAGGTTTTCAATAGGCTAATAAATGCCATTTTCTACTGACTTATTTAGGTGTAAACTCCACAAGTCACATCACTGTGGATGAGAATGCGTCCTGCAGCTAAACTTGAACACAAATCAATCAACAGAACCTTGTATTGATTCTGTATTATGCTATACTACATCCCTTCCCAGCTGTAATCAAATGTAAGTTACATGTGTTTCTGAATGGTTCTTTCCTGTTTTGTAATTACAGATCAGAAAGACTTAACACATGTAGAAATTATTAGATTTTAATATACATGTAAAATTATCTGACATACCTTTCTTTGGGTCACGTCTACCTTAAAATGGTTGTAAAGGCTCAAGGCTTTTTTCCCTTCGTGTATTGTATGCATGAAGGTAAAAATCCTTCTGTGTGCAGTCGTCCCCTCAGGCCTCCTAATACTTACCTGAGCCCCATCGCAATCCAGCAATGTGCACGAGAGCCTCGGCTCTCCAGGGACTCTCTTTCCTCATTGGCTGAGACAGCAGCAGGAGCCAATGGTCAATCACAACCAGTGAGCCCAATGGGGGGGGGGGGGTCGACCTGTGGCTCTGTGTGTGAATGGACACACAGAGCAAGCCTGCTTGAGTTTCCCCATAGTTGGCTCTGGAGGCACTCAGCAGGAGGGAGTGGCTAGGAGCGCTGGCGGGGGACACAAGAAGAAGAGGATCGGGACTGCACTGTGCAAAACCCCTGCATAGAGCAGGTAAGCATGACGTGTTGGTTATTTTTTTTTTTTTTTAATTGCCTTTAATGTCCACTTTAATAGTTGGGCTCTTACAAATATTTAGGCAGACAGAAGTACTTGCAATGGGCTTAAAAATGGTTTAATCTTTGCGTCTTTGCGTAGATCATGAGCCAGTCAATATGGCCTTCCATTCAACAAAATACTGGCCAGATATTACACAAGATTATGGCATGGGGCAATATGCTTCAAGGTTTGATCACAGAAAATACTAAGTAAATCATGTGAGTATTGCTCACTTTCATAGTAAGAAGATAATAAATATTAAAAGAATAATTGAGCGAACTGTCCATTTATCAATGCTTCCTTGCATTATAAATGACCACTACTATTGTTTATAAATAAACTGTTAAACAATACAATCCACATAACTTAACAATTTACTTTATTTTACAAAGATGCACAAAAAATTGTTTTTTGTTTTGCCTGTTAGATGTCCTTCAGGGTAATGATGTTGGGTGCACTTGGGTTGTGCCTGTATTGAAAATATATACTTATTCGATCTAGTAAAGCTGCCTAGCCAGCAATAGAATGCTTCCCTGTCCCTATTCTAATTGCTCAATGCAATACCAATGAGAAGACTGGGCCTTTTTAGGATATCATTAGATACCAAAACAAGCACCATTACTATTTTATGTGCTTGCTATCCAATTTATATGAAATCCTTCATCTAACGTGCCAAATCCATATCTGCTTTTTGAAAAAGGTGGTAACCAGTGCGTGAGCTGCTTTAGTCCATTAGTCAAATCATAAAATTACCTCTGGAAGGCCCTCGAAATACAAATGATAGAGATAGGTCTCCTCTACTATTAGTCTTTGGTCTAAAGGAAAGAAGAGAGAAGGCACATCTAAGAGTAAACAGTTACTAGTAGACTGTTTAAGACTGGGTGGCAACCATAGATATATTTATGTCCAGATAACCTGTGATTTGACAACTAGTGCAGCTATGGTCAAGAAGCATGCAGAATAGGAAAAGAAAAGGGGGATTTAATAGGGGCCCCCCCCCTTTTCTTATGGGACTGTGGCAGGGGAAATAAAGTATTTATACAGTGGGGGAACATTCTAGAAGGTCGGTAGGGTTTTTAGTTCCCGCACTGGTGTGAGGAGGAGAAAAAATGGTTAAAGTTTCAAATTAAATTGCAAGTCTAAGATCCTATCAAACATTATTAAGATAACAAAAAAAAAACAAACCCCCCCCAAAAAAAATCCCATATATATATATATATATATATATATATATATATATATATATATATATATTTTTTTTGCAGGATAAAAGAATAATTTTCCAGCACAGTGAAAAAAAAAACTGCACATGATAATGCTTTAATCTCCAAGATAACATTTCCAACACAGTACAGGGACATTAAAAACAATCTGAAATCCCAACATTATCCTGTTTCAAAGAGATAATGATTGCTGTCTAATGGCCTTCATGCATAACAGAAACATCCATATTAAAATACAATACATGTCCGTGATTAGATTGACAGGAAAGATGAACAAATATAGACTAACCTTTACCAATTTAATTAGGTGGTAAACAATTTGTTTTGATAATTAGGCATCAGCTGTGATATCTGGGAAATTCACTGTTATTCAGTGTGCTGTATACAAAGCTACAATTTGATAATGGCTCACATAGCTCAGGCCCAGATTTAAAGCATTAAGGGATAATGTAAGACTTATTTGATTAACTTATGCCATGATCATTAATGTCCTAGAAATTATAAAAGAGTGATAGAATTTCCTTTTGACTGTCTATGCAGAGTTTTATTCAATGAAGGTCTCTTTATTAATATTTATTTTTTTTCAATAGAAATATGATATATGAATTATTTGCTATGTAGTGAGCTGGTATGACCCAATCTTGTCAAAAAAATTGAATGCACATGTGAAAAGTAAATTGGATAATAGTAAGCAAATATGAGCGTTTCCTGCTTTAAACTTACTTCGAAGGATATGTTCACCTTTGGAACATGTTACATGTTTTTAGGGTGGAACATGCAACATGTGCCAGGTCCTGCACCTTCTCTCTCTGATTTCCCTCATCCCTGTAACAGTGGGCGGGGGATCTTCTCCCTGAACCCACTGCCACAATTCAAAAAGAGTGTGGTTGTGCGGGGCTCCGCCCACATGGCTGTGTCATTCATTCACAAAGACTGAGATTGAGCTCTCCAGTAACTTTTGCAGCAGTTGTTTTCTAATTCTGAGTCGCAATCCTGCGCAATGTCCTTTTGTCTCTTTCGGTTAGTTGACTATGTCGACTGCACGCACATCAGACAAGGTTTTCCCCGCGACACGACAAATAAATTGACAACTTCAGTCACAAAAGCACAAGCTAAGCAGGCTCCAACAATTGAAGCTCAGTAAACTCTGATATGACTCTATATTATTAGCAGTGCATGCAGTGAATGATGAAAGTGAGGCTTCCCACCTCATCACACAACGGACACAAAAGAATGTTACATCACTTCCGCTTTCAACGTGAAAAATGTCATTTTCACACCTGAAAATCATGTAGCATTTCCATTTTTTTTCTAACCCCTGTACATTCGGCTGCTTTGGCTGACAGCTTGTAGCTCTTAATTAACTGCGAGGGTGTTGGTCAGCGCTCTTATAGTTTATTGATTCTTCCTCTCATTCAGTAACTGCCTGCTTGTATCGGAGGTATAGCCAGACAGCTGAGTGTCTGCTGGATCCTAGCATTGCACCAGCAATCTGTTGATTTTGGGTGTAAAGCTTTACAGGCTGCAGAGTAAAAAACCAATAAATCTACTTTTTTTTTGCATGCAAGAAGATGTGCATTTAGTTTTTTTTTTTACAAAAGGTGAACGTATTCTTAAAAAAAAAAGTGAAAACAGATACTTATGCATGCTCTTTTCTAAATAAGAGTACAGTTGAGCAAAGCGATATGCCAGATCCATGCTCCAAGATAGAGCAGACTAATTCATGATTGGCCAAAAACTTACTGCTTGACTCTTTTATTCCTTTTTTTCCCATCTTCAAGAAAACAGCCTTGCATACTACGCATATGGACAAGTCTCACCTCAGAGGGACATTAGTGTGTGGCCCTTGGCAATGCGGATATAAACCTGGATGCCCTTCAGCATCAGGCAAATGCTTCAAACAGAACTAGACTGGGTCTTTCTGACAACCCTATTGTACATAATTAACACAAAAAGAAAAATAATAATAATAATTAATAAAATAACTAACGAATCAAATTGTAGTACATATGACTCTCTTTTATAATCTACATAGGTAGGACTGGGGGGAAATGTCTGTGCATCTTATGGAGTGGCTGGCCCGGTATTCCCCCTGTCGCCGCCGCCGTGTTAGAATACCAGGACTCGGCTCTTCTGTGCAACAAAACTTGCTCCTCAGTCCTACCTATTCCTCGGTCCAGCAGTGTCCTCACTGCCATCTTCTCTCCCTGGCGTTGGCATCTTTAGTGTGGGCACCCGGCTGTGACAGCTTGCCGCTTCATAGCTGGGTGCCCACTGCATGCGTGAGAAGTGTTGCGCTTTGTGAATGGCCCGTAGTCTTCTGGGACCTGTCATGTGTCCCAGAAGACTACGGGAAGAGAGGAAATCGCAGCGGAAGTGGGAGTGGGTACATGTAAAACATGTCCCCAAAGGTCCAATCTCGGTCATCTCCTGTACTATGTCCGCAGTCCTGGTCATCTCCTGTACCCTGCAGTCTCCCCTGTAAGGTCCACAGTCTATGTCTGCAGTCTATGGTCATCTCCTGTACTATGTCCGCAGTCTCTGGTCATCTCCTGTACTATGTCCGCAGTCTCTGGTCATCTCCTGTACTATGTCTGCAGTCTATGGTCATCTCCTGTACTGTGTCCGCAGTCCTGGTCATCTCCTGTACTATGTCTGCAGTCTCTGGTCATCTCCTGTACTGTTCCGCAGTCTCTGTCATCTTCTGTACTATGTCTGCAGTCTTTGGTAATCTCCTGTAATATGTCCACAGTCTCTGGTCATCTCCTGTAGTACATCCGCAGTCTCTGGTCATCTCCTGTAGTACATCCGCAGTCTCTAATCATTTCCTGTACTATTTTTGTGTTTCTCCACAATTTGCACAGCAGCAGTTTAGATTTTGTAGTTTTTTGGCGCAGGAATAAGTTTTTCTTTTCATTTCCTGTACTATGTCTGCAGTCTCTGGTCATCTCCTGTAGTACATCCGCAGTCTCTGGTCATCTCCTGAACTATGTCTGCAGTTTTTGGTCATCTCCTGTAGTACATCCGCAGTCTCTGGTCATCTCCTGTAGTACATCCACAGTCTCTGGTCATCTCCTGTAGTACATCCACAGTCTCTGGTCATCTCCTGTAGTACATCCGCAGTCTCTGGTCATCTCCTGTAGTACATCCGCAGTCTCTGGTCATCTCCTGTAGTACATTCACAGTCTCTAATCATTTACCTGTACTATGTCTGCAGTCTCTGGTCATCTCCTGTAGTACATCCGCAGTCTCTGGTCATCTCCTGAACTATGTCTGCAGTCTTTGGTCATCTCCTGTAGTACATCTGCAGTCTCTAGTCATCTCCTGTACTATGTCTGCAGTCTCTGGTCATCTCTTGTACTATGTCCGCATGTCTGCAGTCTCTGGTCATCTCCTGTAGTACATCCACAGTCTCTGGTCATTTCCTGCAGTCCATTGGTTCAGTCTGCAGTCCATTGGTTCAGAATATTTTTTTTCTTGTTTTCCTCCTGTAAAACCTAGGTGTGTCTTATGTTCAGGTGTGTCTTATGGAGCGAAACATACGGTACTTACTTTTTTTTCCTCTTGGAATGTAAAAATCCTGATTCCTATTAACACCACAATGGTTTATTGGGAAGGAAACCCATAGGGAGCACATTATTCTCTTATAGCCCTCTTCCTAGTCCCCGTGTATAAAATAAAAAATACATTTGAAAATAACATTACTAAGAAAGAAATGATCCACACATCAAAGTCTTACAGAATCCAATGAGAAGGCCCAGCGATAATGTATTTGTGTTATTTTATATATATTTATATATATACATATATATATATATATATAAATATATATATATATATATATATATATATATATATATAAACTGTTCCCTGATCCAGCAGGTGTAGGTACTGATATTGCAAATGTTCACATTTTCAATTATTCAGTAAACTTCTAAAACATATTTCCAGCACAGGTAGGAAGGGCATACAAACAGAGGTGTTTTTTTATTTTCGTTCATCCAGCAGGTGGAATGGAAAAAAATACAAGTATCCCTGAATCTACACAAGCGAAGTGGATGCAGGGATCTCCTCTGGTGTACTATTGTATTCTGACAGTAGGGACCCCCCCCTCCCCAGCAGCAGGAGCTGATTAATTGCTGGTTTCCATCAGGACCATTCGACAGAAGCTGATCTAATGACCGCTACATATGTGCAGAAATACACCTGGTTCCAGCTGAACTGACTGAATTTCAATACATGCATACGCATATCTGTAATAACATATATGGCTCAACAAAACCTGTTTACATGTCAATAGGGTTTTTTTATTCAAGCTCTGTACAGCGATGTGTTCCCTAATGCAGTCCAATGCTGCAGTGCATTATAATACCAATGAGTTAAAAAGAAAAAAACAACACAGATTACAATGTGTGTAAAAACAGCACTGCAATGCAGTGCAATTCAAGACATACAGTGTGCATGAAGTATGCTGTGGTTTGCTTGGTCCCTAATAATACATTGGATAAGACCATTTTATCTTCAATTTCCATGCAGTTTTAGGAGACAAAATGTATATTATTTGTTTTGCCACAAGTGTCCATATTGGGAGTAGCTAAAAAACAATATTTCTGTCTTTCATGTATTAACCATAAATTAACTGGAAATGATATCATGAGCTGAAAAGAAATTACAAATGGGTCAATGTGAATAAAGCATTGCCATCTATGACATCATCATATGAAGTAGCATTATTATTTGTACCATGAACTGTATCAGTTTATTAATCAAGTTTCCTATCCCTACTGATATGTGCATACCTTAGGGAGGAATGCACTATTCCCCCAATTATTTTTTACTTGGTTATTACCTTACTATAATTTAGGAGTGTGTCAGCCTAATGGCTCGTATCCAGATAAAAAATAAATTATTGACTCCCTGTGTGAGAATTTGTCAGCCATATGGTTTCCTCTAAAAGAAAAGAAATTGGTTTAGATCCCCTGCAAAGCAACTTATCAGCTATAATTAGTTTATAAAATAGAAAAGAAAAAGAAAGTCAAAGTGAACCTATGTTGAGCTGAGATGAAACTTCTCATCTGTTCAGAACAGTGTAGGTTCTACAATACTGTGTTCTTGTTGCAGGTTGATTGAAGTTACTGCTATAAAACTCTGCACCAGTGTTTGAAGAAATACCATCTTTATTGCAATGACCTGCTGCTGAAAAGTATACATCGACCCTGTTCCAGAAAATAAAAGTTGCAGACAACAATAAAGCTGCAATCTCTCATGAAATGTGAAGAGTTTGTTCTTCCCCACCTCCACCTAAGAACGGTACTTGAATCACCTCCGCCAGATCATCCCCCGCAGTTATCACCTTTTGTATCACCTCCCCCTTCCTTTAGATTGTAAGCTCCATGAGCAGGGCCCTCCGGTTCCTTCTGTACTGAAATGTATTGTAATTGTACTGTCTCCCTTATATTGTAAAGCGCTGCGCAAACTGTTGGTGCTATATAAATCCTGTATAATAATAATAATAATATTAAGAGACATGGGGCCATCCACTGCCTGCATAGCTACCAATACCAAGAGTACCTTGCACTGCAAGGATATACTAATGTCCTAGGATGAAATAAACGTTAATACCCCTCATAGTAGAGAGGAAGCAATAGCTTTGGTGCGCCAATGACTTTTATTTTAGTTAACTTGGTTGCGAGTTATTATTTATTCCCCTTTCAATTGAAAAATGCAGCCAATGAGAACAGGAAATATTTACTGATAGGACTAGTGCTAATGCAGAGAAATTTAGGGCGAGAAATACATAACAAGGGTCAGACTGGTTTGCAGACTGACACTGATTGTCATTTACTAAAATGGTTTAAGAGATTTAAAAGGCACAGCAAGTTAATGCAACTGTAGAAAACCCTTATAGCCCTGATTACATCCAACTAATCTTACTACCCTCAACTGCACACAACTGCAGCAATTTACACTATCAAACAAACTATGGGCTGCAGACAAACCTGAAATCTAAACAGGGGAAGCCAAGACAACCAAAGGGTTTTTGTAGTGTGTGTGTGCGCGCGTGTGTAATTTCTGTTCTGGTAACATTGGGACAAGAAAAAAAGATGGTGCATGTGTTCCAACTCCTTCTCAATCACTAAAAATATTTTACATAAATTTTTATCCCCAGTAGAAAAATATCCCATCACTTCCTACACCATAGCAGCAGGCAAGGATTGTCTTTAGAGGAAGGAAAGCAGAGAGAAATGTATCTGACAAGCGCAATATTGTTTATTATGCAAGATATAGAGGGTTTCAGAAATGTGATGAATGATAAGACTTCCACTGGTCTATGTGATATAGAAGCACTAAATGTCAGATGCATTCTACAGTCAAATACATGACACTTAACAAAATGTGTGTGAAAGTCAACAGAACTGCGCACTAATTGGTAAATATTCCTAGCCTGGAAATTTGGCTAGTCTTAATCATTAAATTCCTCTTTATTATTTATCTTTGAAAGCTTCAAAAACCTAAATAGATTACCACTCACCAATGAGTTACAGAATTTCTGCCCATATCATTACATTACATAATGAACATTAACTTTAGGAGCAGAACGCTAGCACATCAGTCACACAGGTCAAGATAGCCAATATCCAAACCCACTGCAATAACGTTAACCACAAGATACATTTTTGAACAGTAAGTAATGAGCTGAGGAAAATTCCACATATTTTGCTTTTGGATAATTAGCTGTTATTTTCACAGTGATACTTATTTACATTAACAGCAAAAGAGAATATCTCATTTTCATCAGGCTTAATGTAAAAATAACATATGAGCTGAAAAAAAAACATATTTCTAGTTCTGCTTAATCAAATAAATGATATAATGTTTTTAATTAGATCCAGTTAGCTACCTACACATTGTCATCGTTTGTCCTCTTTCATTAATTTTCCTTGAGCTCAGATGTTGTTATCTCATTATGTACAGCCATAAACTTATCATTTTATCTTTATTTTTCTGTTCTTGAGACCATGATATACAAACCAAGGAATACCAAGTTAGAATCCAGGATCATTTGTGACTTCACTATTTATGTCAGAATATATCTGCACATCAAATGTTATAAAGGTGAATATAATAATACACTATCTTACAGAGAAAATGTGCAGGCCTCTCCCATTGGGAGCCAGTTCATAAAAATGTTTATAGATAGTACTATACACCTACCAGTCTTGTCTCCATATACCCTAACTACTCTCCTAACTGTAGGCAACATTTTGGTAATAATGGATCTCTACTCTATACAGTACATGGTGGTCCTGCTGCAGCCTCCTCAAGTTCTGGCTGGATATTAATCTTTTCATCTCATCAATCATTCAAGTCCTCTCAGCTCTTTCTTTTCAATCAGCACTACTGGAAATTGGCATAGAGGAATCGCCCCCCCCCCCCCCCAACACTGTGTGCACCAAACACACATCCTCGTAGCTGCAAGACTCTTCAAGACCCTATACAAATTCTTAACCAACACTATGTCATGGAATTGACTTTTGCCAAAGCACATCTCCAGCTAACTAAATTTCAAAAAGAATGTTAGCGCTGGCTCTGAGATTCTACCTTCTCTCTGTTTTATGCTCCCTACTGCACACTTCTAGGGGTACACCGTCTACTCCTCTTGCTTACAAGAGTTTACTTTCTATTGCAAATAATTCTATTTTATAATTCTATTTTCATAGCAGCGCCTGACATATTGCTATTTACGCTATATTCCCAAGGTTGACTACTACTCTCTATAAGTATTCATACTCCAAGTT